TCTAAAATGAAGGGTGTTGTGAATTTTGTTCCGCCACAGTATCATCAGTGCAACTGTCAAACAGCAAACCAGAGTGAAAAAAATCATCGCGGAAGGCAAAGGAACTCAAACGCTAGGGGCTGGCATGCAGCTCGGTGTACTGATCGCAGATGGACAGCTACTGTCATCGAATAGTACCCGTGGGATTGCCAAAATTAGCTAGGTTTACTTTCTCGAAAGATGCTTGGCACGGAAGGACCACTACATCCCAGAACCCACCTCCAGCTGATCCATTAAAAATAGGAATCAATTTAGTGTAAATATTTCAAGTTACATTTTTGCCATCACTGAACATGTGTCTTACGACATTAAGCTTTTCTGGATTGAAAGGCATGGATTCATTTTAAACTACGTACCAAATGATTCAATTTTGCACCATCCTGTAGCTTTCCCGACCGAACATCGATGACTGCAGCTGACTGCCCGAAAGAACTTTCGCGAAAGACCAGTGTATCGTTGCTCAACGCCATATCAGCGAGCGTAGGTGGTTGCGACCTCGGAACTTTACCTTTACAAATCTTTGTTCCGTCGTATTCATATACGCTAAATTCCTTTTCTCCACAAATCACGAACAGCCTTAAATACGTACCTTACGTGCAGAATAAAGGTTATAATGGCAACGTGCGTGCAGTCACAAAGTCGAAACGAAATTAATGCTCAACTCTTACATTTAATATTTAATTTCTAATAGTTTTTAGTAAATGATGATTATGTTTAACATGAAATTTCGCACGTTTTGCTGACGCGGTTGCCAAACAATGTTACTCTGCTGCTAAAACGACTAGCGAACCGTCACTGCTTTCAAGGTCGAAAATATTCGGCGTGTTCCAGTTTCTCCAGCTAGAATAAGAAACTCATTTAGAAAGCACTGAACAATACATCGGCAAAGGAGGCTATAAGCAAATACTTTTATTACGTTGCTCTGAAATCCTGTTACAAGGTGTGCCATGGTTGTCAGTAACATTTCAATATGGCAAACAATAAATATTTCCACAAATGTATTATTTTTCTTTAGATTTTATTCAAAATGACGGTAAGATTTCATAATTAGCAGTGTAAAGAAACAAAACATTACCCCGGCATTATAGGTTTGCTAATAAACTGCACGCTTTCAATGTCCGTAGATGCAGTGCCGGTACTAAAATGCCATGGAAACGTGGCTTTCCAACATGGCTCCCATAGGCAGTAGAATCAAGAAGACAGTGCGACTATGCCCTGCGAATCCGTAGGTAGGAGATTGTTATTCTTAACAGTAGCATTATAGACAGCAATCTGCTGGAAAACCCATAGTGCCGAGGTTAATTTTTGTCATGTATGACTATGGACAGAAATATAACCGTTGGTGTTCGTCCGTGTTTGACTCAACACAGTGGTGTTGTGTAGCACCATTTGTACTGCAGGTGCTAAAATACCACGGTGTCATAACTTGCTTAAACGGAAACCTAGACTACTAGAAGCAGGGTACTGTTTGAATATGCCATGGTTATGAGACTCCAGAGATGTAACAGGAGACCGCAGAGTAGGTCACTTTACATTTTAATGGGCATTTTAAGATGGAAAACTAGATATTAAAAACATTGTCTTTGCTGACTTTATTTTGAAACATGAAGAAATAAATGAAGCAATAAAAAGTTTAAAAATATATTTTTTTGATTTGATGGATTTCTATATTATCTGAAGGTCGTGCGGTTCTAACAAGAGATAAAAGCATCAAATAGCATTTCAAGCGGAAAAGTCAATTATTCTGCACTGAAATTATATATATAAATTTGTTTCTCACAACAGGCCAGATGCAACAAAGTTTCTAAACATTTCATTTCGTAATGGCTGAATTCAATAACGCGAATTCGAGCGAAAGTCTACGAACATGGTTACAGCTGTTACCAGGAGGCAAAACTCCTTCCGATCATACAGTTAAGATCATACAGGGCTGCATAGAGTTGCATTTAACTTCGCAATATTCCATATATCGCCTGGATTATGCATGAATTTGATTTGCGTTATCTCATGCTAGCGTAGACTCAAACGTTTTGCAGGAATATGTTAAAGGTATGAAACTATAGAAGCGCTGGGAAGACTAGCCCTTAATTTCGTCATAGAACATAGAATCAAGATCCAATTCGTCGTACATTCTGCGCTAGGCCCTCAAGTTGATAACATGCAATAGCTGCTTCGATTTTGAAGTTCTTGTCAAACACCTCTTAAAAGCTCTCGCCTTAAAGATTTGGGCATTGATATTCTCATCACCAACGACAACAACACGCATCCTCTTTATCCTTCTCTGTCGTCTTATATATCCTTATATATCCCGGTATAGAATCTAGAAATATGAACATCTACTGTCAGACGAAATTGAGACGAAAACTCATTCGTTCATGTTTTGGCGAGTGATAAAGGAGCAATCATCAGTTGCTGCTAGTTGAGGTAGGCAGCTACTTAATTTGCCTACCGCTTAACTTGTACTCCTTTATGTTGCTGTCCCCCGTCTTAACAAATATGTCTGTTCCGCATAGTGTTGCCGAACGCGGCTGCGGATTGCAGATAGTGAAAAAAATCCTCAAGTATGCGGATTAGCTTTGAAATACGCAAGGAATCTGAGGAAAAAACGGTGATTTTTAGCGTTATGACTTCTGTGCAAGGTACACGATTCTTTCATTTTCTTCGTTAATTGGCAAATAATTTAATATCAAGGCGCAGTGATCAAGCAACGCGTCCGATTTATTCAGAAGCTTTACCTGAATATTTGGCACTGATTTCTTGTTATGACCACAAGATGTTCCCAGCCAAGTGCAAAATTAATAATACGATTTTTGAAGTCAAGCATCTCTTCCGAATTCTCTTCAACGTTATGAACGCGTATGAGCGTCATGTGCTCCTGCATCACTTGAAATTTATTGCATTCCAGAGATCTGTTAACAACATTACTGGTTAAACGTGGTCTAATTGCATCCATAACCTTAATTTACCTCTGCACGACAGTTGCACAGATTGGCGTTTCTCCATTGAATCCAACTGCCACTTGCGTGTCGTTCGATGCCCAATTTATTGAAGAAACCGTAGACGTTTGCAGCTTGTGAAGCGAATGTATCCACTAAAGGGAAGGTACAGAGAAAATCCACGTATTACTTGTATACTCCTAATTTGTCACCAAGACAAAGCGTGTTGAAAGAGCCTGCAAGGAACATACGACCGTCGAATGACCATGATACAGCAGTGACAGGGTGCTGGAACAACTTCGATGCGAACATCAATTTGCCGTGTGAATCCCACACCTGCGCATATACAGTTACATTTTGGCCTATTTTATTTTAACAACATTAATACATACTTTATACTTGCAATCTTCTCCTCCTGACAATATAAGATTGTTGCTTTGACTCCAGTGCAGTGTCAGAATCGTCCCTTCGTGTGCCGTCCACTGTAGTTCTACCTCATTCGCTCTTAGTGGTACGATTGCAAGTTCTTTTCCAGCGCTGTGTACGACAGCCGCGTTATCTGGAGACCAGCTCGCTGAATAAACGGGACTTGTGTTTCTGCTCAAGACGGTCCTCAGTATGCCACTTTTCGACCATATTTTTACATTCCCATCTTCACTCGCTTAAAGCACGCAGTAAAATCTTCAAACGTCAACAGTTCACAATTATTATAGGTATTGCTCATTGAAAACGAACATGACATTATATGAGGAAAAAGAGTGACGAATACCGAGAAAAAAAGGTTGTAGAAATAAGGCTTTTATGAATCTCACGTTTTCTTGGCAAACCTTGCTGCCTATCGAAGACCGACTAAATTTTGAATTTAAATTTATTCCGCTTGCAGCAGAGAATGCATTCAGTACATGCAGAACTGAAAAATGTTTTTTCGCATGATCAAGGGAACTTATACTCACCCATTTTTGGAGTTTACTGTTTCTCTTGATTCATTGAAACTGCGGCTTCAAGACTTTTCCAGTGGTTTGGATCCTCGGCTTCTCAGACAAACACCATTAACTGAATCTTAAGATGCAACAATGGCACATGTTTAGATAACCTAAGCTGTTCAATTCTCGATGTGCTCCTTGGCTACATGTCTCATGGCCTTGCGAATGACATTCATCTTGCGAGTTTCCTCTTTGGCGTCATATGTCAAGGTCTTTGCCACTGAGAGAAAATTTTATCAGTCATAGAAATAACAATCAATAAATCAAATAAAGATTAAAACTGGGAATGGAAGGAAGATATTTGCACCAGATCAGCTGAATAAAAGTGAGAGACATTTCAGAAAATAGACCGATTGCCATAAATAATCATAAAATCTAGGTAGGAACATATTGATACTATGTTTATCAGTGAACATCAGGTAACGTAGAGAACTTACTGCCGCTTAGAATCGCTATGTCCGCCTAAGAGAACGTTTCACATTTTTACATAGAATGTTTGCGACGTGGGAACTCCGCCATGGCCGGTCCCAAGCCCGGATGAGAAAGGAGGAGGGTTGG